TCTAGCCATCGCCTATCCATTCATGTTCCACCCAGCATCCACTCAGACATGCACCCTCCATACAATACTGAGAGTGTGCCAGTCACTTAGGGTATATACTACAAAACAGGGGAGACCACAGTCCATGACCTCACTGACAGTATCTGCTCCAGACATATGTATCAGTAGGTATTTGTGTGCAAGCAGGGCAAATCTGGTCTCTATGAGGCCTCAGAGGGGCGCTTAACTCAAACAGGTGAGCAGGAAAAGCAGAATTGTTCTTCATATATAAAATCACTTTACAAGCAAGACATCTGCAGAGCTGTCCCCTAATGATATCAGCCCCTTAACACACACACACACTGGCTTTAAAGATTAAACATGCATGCTAGAGGTGAGGGTGTAACTCAGTAGTATAGCACTTTTCTCATGTGCACAAAGCCCTAGGTTCAATCCGCCAATAATTATGATGATGATGATGATGGTGGTGGTGGTGGTGGTGGTGGTGATGATGATGATGATGTACACATGTTTATTTGCAAATGTTTTTATAAGCATACGTGCTTCTATTTATGCTGGTATGTATGTCAAACTTCCCATTTAAATAACTTGGCAAGCCCTACTTTGAAATATTTTCAAAACACATGCAATTAATACAAGTTAAAACATAAACATGAAACCATTACTTTTCCACAAATATCTCTAAAACCACGCTTGATCAGTGCAAATCAAACAAACTTAAACTGAGGATAAATAATACAATTAAAAAGTAATGAAGGCCTCTGGATAATTACAGAAGTATCCAACCATGCATGCCACAAATGCCTACATTTCTCTTCACAGAGAAATCTGAAACACATTTCTCCATGTGAGGTGATTTTATAGAACCAGAAATTTACTTATACTCCCACCAAATGGAGAGAAGGAACAAATCCTTTGTTTGGTGAATGGCATGTCCTTTACAATCACTTTAAAGATTACAGTTCAATCTCCTTTTATTGGCACAGAAAGGAAATTGAGGCTAGTCTTTAGGATAATCAAATTAAATACAAATACTGAAAAAAATGTACTATTTCCAATTCCTTAATTCCCTAATTATATTGCATATATTCTGACATATAGCACCATTCAAACTGAACACTGTGATGACTCACAAAGGTGGGGAATTATTCAAAAATTTTGTTACATATATACAAATTGCTTTCTTTTTTCATATAACAGTAATCCACAAAACTAGGTACACTTTGCAAAAGGTATAGTGCTAATAAAACAATGAATAATTAGTTCATTTCAGATGGTTGAGGGTCACTGTGGTACACAGTGACTGGTACCCCATGACCTAATTTACTCAAAAAACCCACCACTGAGCTCAGACCCTGGAAGAAATTTGGCTGCTTTTGGCATAAACACAAACCAGGAATCAGGAGCTAGCTATCCCCTCCTGGGAGTGCATCCTCTCTGCGTCTCTCTGGCCTCTACTTCTCCACTTCTCCACCTGTAAAGTGGGCTGGTACCTGGCTCTTGGGGCTCTAACATGCAGTCACCAAGCAAGGAAATATAGAATAGCTCATAGCAGAGTGCATGAGCTCCACCTCAACTCCCCACTTCCTTCACTGGGGATCCTTGAATATCACACAGCTCAGAGCTCTCCTTAGAAACGTCATTGGTCACAATTCTCCTCCTGGGTAACCCTGACTAGGAAAAGAAATCTCCTCTGGGTCTGCTATTATTTAAAAACTCAGGGGCAAATAACACCCTCAATATGCCCTGTGGAATTGTGGCACATTTTATAAAACACTGACTGTGAGGGACACTCATTTTCCAGAGAACCCGGGTGTTAAGATATGGATTCCCAGGGACTAATAAAAGTCCCACTTGGCTTGTATAATGCACAATGTCAGTCTGCTGAAGTCTACTCAGGAAGATGTTCAAATGGAGAAAGGTGGACGGTTTGAAGGGACAGTGTGTGTTTTAAACTCTGTCTGTGAAGAGGGTAATGAGTTCAGACAGTGAGAATTCCATCACATCCTCTGTAAAACTGGATTTTCGGTCTTTTGTCAGAGGGGCAGTAACCTTCCAACAAACAGGTTTAAGTAGAAAAACCAAGGGTTAAAAAGGCATATTACAATTTCTCACAGAGAAGCACGATTTAAGATGTCTCCCTAACTGATAACTTTGTTAAAATATTGGCAAGTGAAACTACAGTAGTTCTGGTACTTACCAGCAATAGCCCCTGAGGCTAGTGTGGCAATTACTGGTGTTTTGGTTCTATCATTGATTCTGGCCAAAAACTTAAACAGCAGTCCATCTTCAGCCATGGCGTAGATAACTCGTGGCATGGGAAACATGGAACCTAGAAGACTAGGTGGGCAGAAAGGGCAAAATGCACGAGTGAAACTAGCTCACCAGGAATAGAGGCACCAAATGAGAACATGTATAGTTTACCACCAAAAGGGAGCCAGTGTTTCTCTCATCAAGAACTCATTCCTCCCTCTGTCTGCCTCTCAAGCACAAGGTCCCAAGTTTGATCCCCAGTATCAAAAAAAAACTGAAAGAAAGAACTGGTTCTTCTTCAAACTGTGTAAAGCTCCCATCTATAAGACTCAGCACTTAGTCTACTGACCCAGAAAAAACACATACTGTAAGTGTGCACAAAGGTAAACTGGGTGCATGGCTCAGTGGCACAGTGCTTGCCTAGTATGTGCAGGGTCCTGGGTTGAATCCCCAGCATTTAAGTGTGGATGAAGGTAAAGAAAGGAGAACATCTTTGTTAAGTTGGCATGCAATGTAGACATAAATGAATGGAAGGGAAATTTTGTTATTGTGATAATTATGCCTAGCTGAATCAAACAGGAAACAAAAGCATCATTGCATTCATAAGGATTTCTCTGTGGGAAATTAATAGTTGGCAAGTAGTTTCTATTTATACAGGTTAGCATCAAATACCAATAAAAGGTTTGCTTTTTCAAAGCAGTCCCTCCTTTACAAGCAAATTAAGGGCCAGAATATGTTGGTCAAGAGGAGGCCTGGGCCAGAGGTCAAAGGTTAGAAACACAGAGCCTGTCGCTTACTAAGCAGATAATGTTCAAAAGGTGACCCTGGGATCTTAGTGGTAAAAAATACGACAGTCTCCCTTTCTTCACGGTTTGGCTTTCTATAATTTCAGTTACTTCTGGTTAATCACACTCCAAAAATATTAGTGGAAATTTCCAGAAATAAACAATTGAAATTTTTGACTAGTTTTTATTATAATATATTGTTATAACTGTTCTCCATTATTATTAGATATTGTTAATCTCTTATCAGGCCTATGTTTGTAAATGAAACTTTATCACAGGTTTGTTTATGTTAGGAAAAACAGCTCCCACTGCAAGTCTCAGAGTGGATCTCCCTATGAATGGGAGAAACTACTGTACTAGTAATACAAGTAACCCTCAGGACTGATTACTAGCTACAAAGCATGGGGAAAAGAGTCGGTGTGCTGGTCTGACTTCAAGGTGGAAAGGGAGCACCAGGACGTGTCCACTTCCCACTGGCCTCACCAGCCTGACACCTTCCACAGAGCCAGCCCCGTGAGGAGTGAGGAATGGCGGTGGAAAGCCACTCACCTGGTGGAAAGTGCACAGAGGGAACCAACAGCCACTGCATATTTGGCACCTTCCCAGCCTACATGCTTGAAGGCATCAGGCAGGGGGCTGCTCGTGTCCAGGCAGAAGTAGGGCATCATGAGTGTGAGGGCGGCAGACACCCCGAAGTATGCGATGAAGCAGATCAGAAGGGATGCAACGATGCCCACAGGGATGGCCTTCTGGGGGTTCTTGACTTCCTCACCTGGAAGCAGAAAGAGTCAGGAGGCAGGAGGCACTGGACCCACCCGCGCAACATCAAGGACAGGCAGCCTAGAATGTTCAGTCTGCAAGAACTGGGGTCTGCAGCTCCCTAAGGTAGAGGAGGCCCTTGGTAACACACCCCAGGCAGCCCCAGTCCCGGGATGGCTCTCCACCATTACAATGATACCCAGCTAAGAGAGAAACTTGTTTCCCTTGGCTGAGAAAATCCAGGAAGCTCAAGGGAGTGCAGCCTACTCAATCAACCAGGTTGACATTATTGTCGGTGTTCTCATTCCACCCAGATAACACAGAAGGGCAATCAGTCTGGAGCCATGCTGTCATTATCCTGGTCTAACACCAGAGACCAGAGCTCTTAGTTATGTTCAAGACACAGTATCCTGTCAGGTACCACCACTCAGGGAAGTGATAAAGGAGGTAGGAGGTTGGCAGGAAGCTGCAACTCCTCATGTTATGTACATGTAGGAAGAGTGGCAACTGGAGCAGGAAGGGAAGTTTTGGCTACGGGTAGTAGGAGCCTCCACGTCTTCCAGGCAGTGGGGGATCCCGGAGTAGCGGGGTGGGAGGGGCATACCAGTGGTGGCAATGCAGTCGAAACCCACGAAGGCATAGAAGCAGGTCGCTGCCCCCGACAGGACACCAGAGAACCCAAAGGGCATGAATCCACCAACACCGTGTTTCTCTGTTTTTGTGTCACTAGGGAAAAAAAAGCCACAGTCAAAGATCACAATTAGGAGCAGCACTCAAGTCCTGAAGAGAAGCAATACCAGATAATCACCCTACCCTGTTAGTGCTGCTAGGCCCAGGGGCTTCAGACCCTGAATCATGGTCCTCAGACCACAGAATTCCAACTCCATGGGCAGCAGGCCTCCCTGTATTTCAGGCCCCAGAGACACGATGGCACACACTGTCACTGGTCCAGAAGCATCTGGTACATAATGACTTGTAGGGAAAGGCAGGAGAGTGGAGGGCTTCAACCACTGGGGCTGGGCCCATACCCTCCTCCCCAAGACCTTCAGGGATACAGAGACCCAGAGCTGCCACCCAGGGGTACCATCCCCACCCAACATACTGTACTTAGCAGTAACCCAAGGCTCCAACACAGAAACTATGGCTAAAAACCTGAACTATTTCAGTTAACAACAGCATCTCTCAGCACCCTGTACATGAGGTCAACAGCTGCTGAGATGACCATGAACAGAAAAACCAATTGTCACCTTTGATAGTTAGCTTTCAGCAGGAGCACCTGGGGAGGCTGGAGAATCGAAGTCAGGAATGTGCAGACTGAATCACTGAACAGGGAGAGGAGCCTGGCAGAAGGGTAGTGAGGGCTGGACCGCACCTTAGTCATGAAGATGCAGGAAAATAAGTAAGAAAAACACGCAGAAGAGGAGCTTTGGATGACTGGCCGAGGGAGGAGGCAGAGGAAAAGGCATCTTACTGGCTCCTCAGGACTGACACAAGGTGGGTTAGACACCTCCAAATCAGGCAACTTCTGGAGCTGTGAGCCGGGTGAGCCAGCTCCCTTAACAGTGATACCTGCTGAACCTGCTCCTCCGACCTAGGCGGAGATATACCAAGGCCCAACTGCAAGAGGTGCTGGTAAGAGAAAAAGGCCAGGGGCAGGAAAATGGGGGGAGGGGGCTTTAAAATATACACATTTGCATTCACTTGTTTTATATAAAGAAAAACTAGAAGCCTCCCCACCAAACATAATGAAAATGACTACTCACTGTGGGAGTAGGGGGTGAGGTAGATGAAGAAAGGAGCGGGAACAAGGATTTCTCCATGAAAAACTTTTAAAAACATTATGACATATGAACTGTGTGATTATTTTATTCACTCAAAAAATTAAATTCAACTTTGAAGTTTGGGTGTTCCTGATCTCAGTTACAGGTATGAAAGTAAAACACAGAATCTATTCTATAGGGCCTTAAGCTAAAACATTTAGAAATATTTCTCACGGGCTCTTCATATCTATATTTTCACCTTAACCTGGGGCACACATGTGGTGGGTCCACAAGCCATTGGCTTGTCCCTGAAGGAGTGGGGATACTGCCCTGGCCACCTCCTGGCAAATGTCAGCTCTTGATATAGTGGAGCTAAACCTAGGCCTTGGTGCAGTACTCTCTCCCCTGCAGTTTGGGTGACCAGCCCTGATGATTCCGCTCACCTGGTCTTTAACAAAGAAAATAACTGGCAAAGTAGGGTGTAAGGCCAGGGGCAGGTTTCCCACATGCGGCTTACCCTCACCAAATTAACAGTAAATGTATTTTACCAAGACTCCAAAGTAATAACAGCCATCCGCTACCCTGATATAAGCTGTCGGTCATCCCTAACAGCCTCATTTCCCCCTTCTACACAGTAAAGGCAGCCTTAGTTATTTTAGCCAGACACATGACCAGTGAGAGTCAAGCCTACACCTCTCTAACTCTAGATGTGGGTGCAATGATGGGACCAAAGGAGACATGGTACAGGCATCGCCTAAGTAATGTGTGGGGATGAGGGCAGGGAAGGTGCTCTTGTACTCTTCCCTTTTCCTTTCAGCTAACAGAAACAGGAGGAGCAGCGACCATGAGGCCAGGTGGCCTTGCAAACATGGGCCATGGAAAAGGCCATGAGATGGAAGGACTAGATTCCTGACCCAGGTTATTGACCATGTCCACATGTTAACTAAAGAGAACTAACCCTTTATCTTATGAAGTCAACATTATTTTGGAGTTTCTCTCCTAAAAGACATGCACTGTCCTACATAATCTCAACAGGTTTCCACATAGTATAAATTTGTGTCACTCTTACTTCTCCTGTTACCTATTTCCAGGATACTGGTTAAAAAGGCCAGAATCAGCACAAGTCAAGGCAGGGAGAATCCACTGGAACTGTACGGTAATACTCCAGCCCCAGACTCAGAGACAGACTAACTCAAGCTCAAAGCGTTCCCTGAAAGCCATGGAAGGAGAAAGATATGAGAAAATTCCAAACTCAGTGCAGACAAAGCAGCCTCCCGACTGTGCAGGCTGACGCTCCTACATGATATATGATTTGGTCAGGAAATGCCCTGCTATTTCAGAGGGAGAGCAATTTCATGCAAGACTATAAGGCTGTTCTCGGAAACACAAATCTACAGCTGGCTAAAACAAAAGCCATGTGCAGATTATAATGAAATGGAAGAGACAGCTATATTCCAGGCCTGTAGAACTTCACCTCTTCAATGGCCGATCCTGAGTCGCCCCCCACCACCACAACAACAGCAGTGTTCCAGGTCCTCAGATGGAAATAAAGGGCCCACTTGTGGCTAAAGGGCTGGGGTGACAAAACCACCTTATCTGGACAGCCAGCACTGTTCAGTTGTACTGTAGAGTCAGGGCGCTCAGTTCAAGGATGATTGATAAAAAGCAAATACCACTGACAGGCACAATCTCGTGAGAGAAATGATGATGCTTACGCTCAACTGGCAACCAGGAAGTAAGAGGAGGCCTCAGTATTTCATTCCTAACCTGGGAACAGCAACTAGTAAAATCCACTCTCAAAGTTTTCAAAGTCTACAGCAGTACTTCAAAGTATATTTTGAGTTGGCTTCATTCCACCTTGAATGAATGGGTCAGAATAAATTAGACATCCAGACAACTCTAGAATGCTTAGAAATGATACATTAAAAGTCCCTGTTGCTCTGTTACTGAATTTGAGAAAGGCTTATTTCTATTCAAATTCAAGAGTTTAGGAGATTTATTTTTATTTGAATTCATAACCACATAATTGTAGCATTAGTGAGATTTCTTGCACCTAATTCAACACTTTGCTGCTCTAAGGAGTGAAGTAGTCACACACACTGACTGCTCACTGATCAGAGCACTGGAGGAGGCTGGACACTTGCCCCTGAACTAGCCACTGACTTGGTGGCTCTGAGGTGACTTCTGAGGTCTCCTGTCCTACACAGGGCAGCTAAGATGTGGCTGCCCACTGAGCTCTCGCCAAGGAAATGTAGAGACTAGGACAGTGTATCTTCTTGGTCTGTCCTCATAAGCCCTGGGTGCACTCCCCTCCCATAATCTCTTTTCACTTCTGGAAAGCTGGGGCATGCTTGTGTCCACAGGCTAGCACTGACTGGGAAGTGGAGGACAACAAACACTGCTGTTGGGAATGACAGAACAACAAGAGGGAAGACGTTTGGGTCTCCAAGTTGGCCATGATTGCATCTCAGAAGGTGTCTGTACCACAGCATTTTAGCCTTTAGCCTTAAAGAAAATAGAATCACAGACAACCCCAACTCCCCATTTTCCATCCTGGGACATGAAAACTTATGACAAATTACAATTACTTGGCTTTGTTTCCTACATAGCAGGAGCACGTTGGGGAAGGATCCCTCATTGGTCTAAGAGAGCCCAGGATGGATAGCTGGCCTTCACCCATCTCAATCTGAGTGTCCTGAATCAGAAACATCAGGGGGCCAGGGATTTAGCTCAGTGATTCTGGAGCCTGCCTTGCAAGCACAAGGACTCAAATTTGAGCCCCAGGAGCAGGGGGGGCAGGGGAGGGAGGGAGAGAAGGTTGGTCATATAACCAAATATGAGGAAAAGATTTCTAATGTAATGTGACAACTATTTGAAGTTTAAATGATGGTCTGTTTTCCTGAAAACCTTCGTTGTCATGCAAAGTGCTATCCAGTTCAGGGGAATAAATCTTAACACACACTCCCAATTTGCAAAACAGTCTCGGTGACCTCACTGCAGCAAAGCAAAACAACAAAATGAACTTGAATTGTGTATTTTTAGGTCACATATTATCCTAGGCAATTGTAACCCCAAATATGTGTACATGGCGCTAAATATCAAGTATGAAGAATTATCACATGCCAAGGGACAGAAGAAATGACTCACTTGCCGAGACACAGATGGCTGGATGCATTCAAGATATCCTGTTCCGTGAGCTGCCAGTTTTTAATGGATCCCTTCACAAATCCTGACACCACAATGAAGCCCAGGACCAGAACATTGATGCAGGTGAATATTTTGTTGACCATGGCTGACTCTTTCACACCAAGAGTTAAAAGTCCTGAGAAAGGCACAAATAGAAAATCCTGACTGTTAACCACAGACTAGGTAGGTCACTTTGAGGATGGCAATGAGGACAGGAACAAGAAGATGACAGAAAAAGAATGAAAACATCATTGAACCTCCAAAGACATCGGTGATCCTACTGGCAGGGACTTCAATAACAGAAGTCCATGGGATGCTTCCCAAGCTACCTGGATCTCCTTGGAAATTGAGAAAACCACCCACAGAGCACCAAGAGCTACAGAGATCTGGAACGTGACAGTCACCTTCTACGGAGAGCAAGTCCCTGGCAGAGGAAAGACGGGGCCTCGAAATGCACAGCAAGGCACCCCCTTCTCTTGAAAAGGACATAACTTTAATTTTCCCCAAGAAGGACATACCTGTATAGTGTCCTGGTTGAGACACTCATTGAGAAAAATGAGAGTTTTTCGGATGAGGAAATTATTCAGATTTACTCTGGGATGTTAGTCATGTTGGCAGCAACAAGGGTTCTGGTTCTGAAACCACTAACACATGTTTCCTCACTGGACTCAGTGCATATAAAGGAAATGTTTAAACCGGGTGTGGTGGCACTTGCCCATAATCCCAACACTCAAGGAAGCTGAGGCAGGAGGATCGCAAGCTCTGTCTGGGCAACTTAACAACTTGGAGAAACCCTGGTTTAAATAAAAAAATATAAAGGGCTGAGAATGTAGCTCAGTGTGAAAGCCCTGGGTTCAAGCCCCAGCTCACACACACACACACACACACACACACACACGAAAAAGTGTAAGCCGGATTAGCTCTGGCTTGGGAACTCACATTTAAGACACAACAAAAAAATCAACCAAGTGATGAAAAGGTACAGGAACCTCATGACAGCACTATCTTTGAGTAGCTCCCACATTAGGGTGCTAATGCCACGGAGGGACTTCCATGTTGCTGTAGTTTGGATTTTAAGTGTTCTCTGGCGTGTTTCCCAGGGTGACACTCGGGAGATGGTGGAACTTCAGAAGGTATGGCCTAGTGGGAGGTCTGTGGGTATCTGGGCGTGGGCCCCGGAAGGGAACTGTGGGGCCCCAGTGCCTTTCTCTTTCTTCCACATTCTGGCCATGAGGTGAATGGTTTTGCTCAACCATGTGCTCCCCACCTTGAGAGATAAGACAATTATCTCAGGTATGTGACACTGTAAGAGAAAGCGGGTTAACACACACAGCTAAACTCTAGGGTGGGCATGAAAAGAGGCCAAGCACTACTCAAACACAGTCATGATTTGAGACTCCTTCCTTGCCATGGATGCCTCTTATACATTTTAAAATAGAAACTGCTGTACATGCTAGATTGAATTCTGAAAGACAGATGTTACAAGAGAATTGAGTAATTAATTATGGGGTGAAGATGTCACTGGGATCCAAAATATTTTTTCTTTAGTGTTCCTCCCTCTCATGTTTATAAAAATGAGAATCTCATTATAGTAGAGCAAATTATTTTCTGGATACACATTTCTGCCAGCTAGACCAGAAATACTGCAGAGACTGGCCTGTGCAAAATTATTTTAATTATGCAGTGTGGGAGGTAAGGCATGTTGTTTTTAAAACTTGTCTAAGATTTTCTAACCTCAGATGAAAATTCATCTGCATTTCAGTCTCATGTACATATAGTATAAGGACCAAGAAGGACAATTTCCCACCCCAGTGGCTGAGACACAGACAAGTATCATGAACAAGAAGATTGCATAAGCTGTGTCAAACAATATCTGGAATTTAAAAATTCTGTAGCCATGACTTATTTACTAAAAGGGTGCTTTGTGATTGTTCAGTGTACAAGCACTCCAGGTGTCTTTAGACATGCGAGCACACATTGATGTTCCAGGCAGAGTTTAGCCCTCCACATTTTCCTGGTGGACAAATGACTATTTTCCTTTCCAAATGGCCATCCACTGAGCCAAAGGATTTTTAATCCTTCAGTGCTGACAAAATCTCACTCCACGGTTATATTCAACACCTGAGATTCCTTTTAATTAAATGGCAGAGAACTCGGCCAACTCTGTGTGCTCTACAAGACATTAGGGCTTGGACAGATGAACAGAGATGTCTGCATTTCTTATAAAAACAAATAAACAAAAAGTGGTGCAGGGAGGGGGGGCGCGTGTGCTAAAGATAAGAAAAGAAACAAAAAGGTCCTGGGAGTGTGGCTCAGCGGCAGAACACTTGCCTTGCATGCAAAGGCCCTAGATTCCAGTTCCAGCATAAACAAACAAGAAAGAGAGAGAGAGAGAGAGAGAGAGAGAGAGAGAGAGAGAG